ATCTATAGTTATATCTTTATTTATTGCTTCACTTTGTGATTCTGTTAATTTAAAGTTATTTATTTTTTCTAGATTTTTTTTTATATATTCATCTGTCGTAGTTTGAGGAATGTTATATAACTTACTATAAAAATCATTAAATTGTTGTCCTACTTGTTTTGGAATTACTGCAGTTATTCCATTGTTTATAAGTTTTTCTACTTTATTTATACCCTTTTGTTTTCTTAATTTTTGTGAAAGCAATTTATCAGCTCTGTTACCCTTAGAATAATATTTTAATTTTAATCTATCTAAACTTTTAACCGTTCTTTCCATTAATTTTTGGTTAATTTTGTCCTTTATAGCTGATATTTCTTCAGAATTTTCAACTGTTGGATTATGTTTGTTGTTTTGAGTCAGCTTCCCTAACTGACCATAAAGGTGAGATAGACTAATACTTTTATCAGTTTGGCTTTGGAGTTTAATAAAATGACCTCTTATTACTGCTTTAAAGGCGCACCACAAAATGGATGGATCGATATCCTCTGTGTTATTTTCTTTAAAATAATTATTTATGTTTATTTCCATAGATTTTTTATTCGCTTCAAAACGGAGCAAACTGTCATTTAGACGCCAACTATATGACTCTTAAATTTTTTCCTACTTCTATTACACATACTACACCGTTATGATCTGTCCAAACTTTTGTTTATATTTACTTTTTGAACTTTATCGATAAGATTAGGATCAATCCAGATCATGTCTAACCTTGAATAAGAAAAGTGGACTTTAGAGAAGTGTGTATAATCTCTCAGATTTGGATTATGGATTCTCCAGATATCGAACAAATTAAATTCATCTTTTATGTTTTTTAAGGATTTAGCTTGTTTAACTACCATCTTATTTATTTAACTCCTTTCATAGTTTTTTTGTCTAATTGTGGATCAATGACTGCATTAAAATCTCCAGCCAATATTAAATTTCCTACGTTTACTTCTATTTTTTCTAGAATAGATCTTAAGTAAGAAGCTGGTGAATAATTTGGGAGATAAACATTACAAAATGTAAATATCTTAGAATTGATTTTACATATTACAAATCTGCCTTCTACATCTTGTATTTGTTGAATTATTTCTACCTCTATTTTTTCACCAAATATTATGGCTACACCGCATTTTTTTTTTATCTCTATTTGAGGCCTGTATAATAAGCGGGATTTTTTTTCCACCCCACGTTTGTTTATCTGATTGCCTCCAATGGGTTTCTTGCAAAAATCCCAAATCAATATGTTCGGTGACTAAATATTTATATATTAAAGACCTTTTTGTTATTGTGTTCATACCTTGGACATTAAGAGTTAACATTCTTATCATTAGAGTTTCTCATACCTCTTTCCTTTCGTCTCGACATAGTAATCTTCCCTTTTTTCCTTCATTGCTGCACATACATACATAAAACAAAAAAATATTTTTTTAACATTCTCTCCACTTTGAACGAAATGACGTTTGGGAAGAGATTTTGTATGAGTAGGTTTTTCATGTACGATACGGGAACATGATTTAGATCCTTGGTAAGTTTTGCGAGATCCAATAGTGTGTATGTAGGGGAACAGTCAATCCATATCTGCCAAGTGACCCTATGTAGGAGGAACAGTCTCTATTCTGCTCTGTGTCAGTGTGTATCAGGGGCTCTGAGGACAGGTGTCAATCCATATCTGCCAAGTGACCCTATGTAGGAGGAAAAGTCTCTATTCTGCTCTGTGTCAGTGTGTATCATGATCTCTGAAGACAGGTGTCAATCCATATCTGCCAAGTGACCCTATGTAGGAGGAACAGTCTCTATTCTGCTCTGTGTCAGTGTGTATCAGGGGCAGGGGCTCTGAGGACAGGTGTCAATCCATATGTCAAGGTGTCAATATGTCAGGTGTCAATCCATATCCATTGTGATTTAGGAATGTTAGGTGATTTATGCCCTTTATGGATTAAGAGCAGACTCTGCATCAACTGTGTAATTTTCCATGGGAGTTTTGCCATGGATCCCCCTCCGGCATGCCACAGTCCAGGTGTTAGTCCCCTTGAAACAACTTTTCCATCACTTTTGTGGCCAGAAATAGTCCCTGTGAGTTTTAAAATTCGCCTGCCCATTGAAGTCATCACTACTGAAGACAAGAAAAAAGTAAGAAGATTTAACAGTGATGATCGTTCCAACCAGATTTTACATTGGCTAGCCAGCCAGTCTTCTATTCAAGTTTTGTTCCCACTTCAAGGGGAAAGAGAGAAGAATCGAGTTACAAAGCTATTTTGGAACTGGGAAAACAAACTTGAAGAGAAAAAAAAAGAATCTAGACTGTCACAGAAGAACTGTGGTTTCTAATAAAAAGTTTTCAAATCACAAAGACTGTACAAGACTATTTTCTACAACTGAGACAAAAAGCACAAGATACAACGTGAATTCTAGAAGCAAGCACGTGGCAGAGATTGGCAATCATCCAGATTCAAGCCCACTACTGCGCAGCTGTGTGGACGAAGCAACGAAATAAACATAAATAACTGATCTGGTGAGTAACACGGAATTCATAAATGATATTGCAGAGAAAAGTAAATTGCAGTTTGCATTTAATAGAAGCTATTCAGATGCTGTATTGCGGCAATCTTTATACACACAATGTGGAATTGCCAATAGTAAAATTGACAAGAAATTGTTAATAAGAAAAAACAAAAGATCAGAAATGTTATGAAACTAGTCTGTACTTACAATGTATTGATTTGTTAACGAGGTGCAGGTCAAGACAATTTAGAATTAGCAGATAAAGAAATAGATTTGTATGGGTTAACAGAAGACAAATCAGATTTAAATGAACAGTGTAACAAGGTAACAGAGAGCACATGCTGTAATTGTGAGAGATTGTAAGAAACAGTCTGTGAACTAGAGGATAGAGTTGAATTAAGAAATTATCTTTTTTGCCAGCTTAGAAATGAAGTAAAGCAAGTGTGTGTTAATACAAGAAAAATACAGGCACAGAATCTAATCCCAGAACCAATAGATACTAAAATGTATCCACACAGAGTGATTTGCAGAAATGTAAATTTCAAGACAGAGCTGCAAAACTTAATTTGAAAATCCATGAACAATTAATGAAAATTGTGAAATGTATTCCAGTTTATGACACGTCAGTGGATGCATTTACTAATGCTGAAATGTTTGAGTCTAATTTAGACAAATACAGCCTAAATGACGAACAAATGAATAGACTATTTAAAATATGGCTGCAGACTCAAATGGCATGTAGACTGACCACGCCTGTAAAATGTTAGGACAATGATGAAATAATATATGGTAATAAGCAAGACAGATTAACACAAATAAAATTAACAACAGGGAATGATTTTGCAGACACTGAGATGTTGGAAAAAAACCACACAAGGGTGAGGATATATTTAGTTTCCTTGTAAAATTTGAAAGTGTATATAAACTTGTTGCTAATTTTCCTGAAGATCAGTTAATTAATGAATTTGTGAAAAAAATTCAAGATTTAGATCCAACGGCAATTGTGTTAGCTAGAGAAAAAAGCACTTTGACAGAAGTTGCTTTGATCTTGGATAACTTAAGGAGAGAAACCAATAATGAAAGGGTTAAAACTACTTGTGGAATTAGGCAGAGAAAGAAGTGCAGATTTGACACCCCTCGTCCCCCTCCTCCTTCTTCGTGGACTCAGTGTAAAAGAGTCATATAGGCAGCTGAGCCACTCCCAATTTGCTCAACTAGAAACTTCAGAGTTAGCAATGAAAGGAAGAATATAAATCCTAAAGTTATTTGTTTTTGGTGCAATAAACAACATTATTTAAGATCTTGCAGATATTTTATCCGAGATATCAAATCAAAAGAAAATGAGAAATTAAATTTGTTGATTGAAAATTTTGACAGAGAAAATACATGTAGTGATAAATCAATAAAGGCCTTTCCTTGTAAACTGATAATCAGACAAATAAGAGCAATTTTAGCTAAAATTGAAATTAGGAGACAGACAAGCAATGCAGTGTAACACAGAAAGTTATAAGAATCAGATAAATTGAAGAGATATGATCAGTTTAGGGAATGAGCATGGATATGTGCGCCAACAGATGTACACAGGCTGATTCCAGAATTAAGAACAGCACACAAGAATAGAGATTTATGTTAGTTTGTTGTTTTAATGAATTGCTAGTCTGAACTGTTTTTTCGTTGTTTTTATGTGTTATAAGAAAGTATTAGGTTAATTAATTAAAATAAAAATTGACATCAAGTTTGCAAATATGGCAGAATGAAATACACTAATGTAGCAGTTAGGAACATGCAATGTATGTTATATTGGGTGTATGCGATTATACAGTAACTCCAATCATTTTACAGGAGGAAAAAAAACAATGAATATATTCCTTGTTACTTCTGAGGTTGATTTAAAATCTTTGATTTAATTCATGAGAATGAGATTTTAATATCATGACTGATAATGGATTACTATATTTTGCAAAGCCTGGACATACATATGTTTTGATTATATAGAAGACAAAAGTTTTGATAGAATAAAACCTAGATTTGCAGATAGATTTGATGTAGGAAACAATATATGTTTTTGTAGTTTGTTTCATGTGACAAAATGGTGCCAGTGTTAAGACAAGATGGCTGATATTGCTAAAGTATAGTGGAAAACAATATTTTATTGTAACATCTGATATGTGATTAAGTTATACCTCCAGATTATTAAACAGTTTAAAAGGGGGGTATGATTAATAAAAAGTTTGGAAAATTAAAAAATTCAGAAAGATTTTAATATAAAGGAAATTTTAAGATTATACATCACATGGCATAAATGTAATGACCACTAGATGGTAGATCTCATGAGAAGAAATGAGTATGTTTTGCGTAGTCAATATAATTCAATGTTAAACTGTATAATAATAATAATGAGATATAAACATTGTAAGCCACTGTATTGATGCTGCACATGTTTTTTGTTTTAATGTAGGTAAAGCGTGACAGATCCTTGTGGCAGTAAATCAGGAAAGCATTCCTTCAGACAACTGGACATCGACTGTTGGAAAGACTTCATCTGATCTGTAAACTGTGATGGAAGATTCTAGAGTTCATTCGATACAGAATATTAACAGACTTGCAAAGAAATAAAAGATTGACACTAACATGAATATTAATTCCTAAATATTAATGAAGAAGAAAACAGACAATGAAAAGTTATTTAGCAGTTATGAGTGTATTAATACCAAGAGTATTTATAAATATGTAACACAAAGTAAAATTATGAAAGTATTATGAAGAGAACTATTACATTATTACCTATACATAGGATGAGAAGTATCAGAGGTAGATAAAATATGAAGTCGATAAAATAAGGATCATGGTTACTTAATACTACAAAGATTGAGTTTAATAGTATTTCATGGAGTCACTAGAATAAATATTTTGTTTATAATCGAGGTGAAACAAACAATGGTAACATAAGGAAGAAAACTAAGGATAATTTATATTGATTTATATTAAGTAATGGTATACATTAAGAATGCCTTGGATATAAGAGTTCAGAGATCCAAGAGGAATTGAATTGAAGTTTAGTTAAGAGTATAGTACACAATTATATTTGACCTAAGTCTATAAAGGTATATGTTAGGGAGAATTGGTTTCTGGATATGACGGTATCCAATGAATTGAATACGTTGTTAAGTTGTTTTATGATTACCCTGAGTTTGTAAGAGACAGACTAGGAATAAGAGTTTCTGACCCCAAGTTTTGTTTATTTTATTTTATATTAGTCAGTTGAAGTGTACTAATGAATACGGATTGGTCAGAACATTAGGACAATCCTGCTTTTAAGATGTATTACAGTAATAAGTCATCACAATGCTAACTAAGAGAGTGATGCTAATTAATTTATATTATTCTCTCCAAGTTATTTTAAAGTAAACTATGTTTCTATTGAATGAAAAGTTTGTTACTACAAGGTAGAATAGTAGTCAAAATTATAATTATGTAAACAAAAAAATCTATGATAGAAAGATTTCTGGGTGGAGAATTTCTAGAACAATAAGTATTGTCAACACCATGAACATTATTTGAAGAATTATAAAACTTTATGGTTGATAACAACACAACCTTTGAAGGTTTGCAAACTATTGAGTCTTATAAGTAGTGTTGGTATATTTCAGTTAGTGAGAGGCTACTGAATATACATATTAAATACTATTTGTAAAGTAATGATACAATTATCCCTAGGTGGTATTAATTGTATAGGAATGTAATTCATGAATACAAATGACCTAAAGAGTTTAAGTTACTAGAAAACGTATGAATCATGGAAGTATAAGTGTATATGTATATTATAGTAATACATGTATTGGTACTTAAGTAATATCAGGTATTGAGAATTAAAATACTATGCTATATGTATCTGTAGGAGTATGATAGTGATACACAATTATTTAGAAAGTTATCATCTTGATTTTGTTGTCTACAAAGACATGACTGTACCTGAGCAGGTAGATCTTTCTCATTGCTTTACATTGTTTTTTGGATCAACATTTGTAAATATATTTTATTCATTTATTATTGTTATATATATATATATATATATATATATGTATATATGTATATATTATGTTCAAGTAGTTATGATGTAACATGCATATGGATATCAATACATAGCTGAAATAGAGGGAGTTTTGAAGTAAAGTAAGCAGTATGAGGGATAGAAACTCGACCTTCCAAGAACTCTCATATAATAGAAAGTTGTGACTACATCTTGTTCTATGTTCAATGACTGTGATACGAGTGATGTATGAATGGAAACGTTAGTGACATTGTGTTATGGTTTTAAGACAAACCATAAACAGAGGGAATGTAGAATATTGCATATTCTATGTTTCTATTGATTATATATATGGATGTGTGGATTGACATAAGTAACAGATGGTATCAATAAGTCACAAGGCTTTCTTTGTCCGAGAGCTCTGGAATGTGGATTTGAAGGTCCTGCTGGAGGTGTTTTCGGTAGGGTTTTGGATTCCGTTTGTTCATTCGGATTCCCCTTCATCGGCGGACCATCTGCATTCGGCTGTGGGTAAAGAAGCGATATTAAGAGATAAGTTGATGAAGGAAGTTCAGTTAGGCAGGATGGCCGGTCCGTTTGATTTGCCACCATTTTACAATTTGCAGGTATCCCTGCTCGGTTTGGTCCCCATGAAGGAGCCTGGCTCCTTTCGTCTCATTCACCACCTGTCCTACCCGTCGGGTGGTAGGTGAATGATGACATTGCTAAAGAGGAGTTGCACGATCGCTATGCCGCCTTTGATCGGGCGCTGAAGTTAGTCAGGGAGGCGGGAAGGGGAGCTCAGCTGGCCAAGTCAGACATTGAGTCCGCTTTCCGACTGCTCCAGGTCCACCCAGACTGTTTTCACCTGATGGGCTGCCAGTTTCAGGGTTCCTTTTTCTTTGATATGTGTCTGCCAATGGGCTGCGCCATCTCCTGTTCGTATTTTGAAATGATCGCGTCCTTTTTAGAATGGGTGGTAGCTCAGGTTTCCGGGTTAACGTCGCTAACTCATTATTTAGATGATTTCTTGTTTTGGGTCCGCGGGAGTCGGATGACTGCGTGGGGCTCTTGGATTCCTTTAGAGCCGTCGCATCGTATTTTGATGTGCCAATAGCGGAGGAAAAGACGGTAGGCCCGGTGGGAGTCTTGTCCTACCTGGGTATTGAAGTGGACTCGCGGAATATGGTATTCCGGTTGCCGGATGCAAAACTGACTCACCTGTTGCAGCTGGTAGATTCGGTAAAAGGAGTGAAAAAGGTGCAGCTCTGGCAGTTACAGGCCTTGCTAGGGCATCTGAACTTTGCCTGTCGGGTGCTACCGATGGGGAGGGCTTTTTGTCGGCGCCTGTCCTTAGCGTCGATCAGAGTCAAGCAGCCTCTGGAGCTCATTTTTGGGTAGGTACAATGGGCAATATTGCTGGCTCCGCCCGGCGGTGTCCAACACGGATTTGGAGTTGTACACCGACGCGTCCGAAGTAGTGGGATTTGGAGCCTATTTTCAAGGATGTTGGTGCGCGGAAGCCTGGCCCCGCCACTGGCTGGAGACCGAATTGGGGGGTAACCTAACGTTCCTGGAGCTATTTCCCATTGTAGTGGCGGTGAGACTTTGGGGTTTGGAGTTAGCTAACCGGAAGGTGGTGGTGCACATGGACAACATGAGTGTTGTCCATGTGATCAACCGGTCCACGTCCTCATCCCCCCTGGTTTTGTCGCTGCTACGGCGCTTAGTCTTGCTTAGTTTGGAGAGGAATTTGTGACTGGTTGCACGTCATGTGCCTGGGGAGCGGTATATGACAGCCGACTCTCTCTCTCTCGGTTTCAGTGGGACCGGTTTCAAGAGGTGGCTCCAGAGGCAGATCGGGTTGGAACCTCGTGCCCGGCGGGCATTTGGGACCTGGTTTCCACAATTTGATCAGGTTGGTGAGGGGGTCGTTGGCGGAGTCCACGTGGAGGTCGTACGCTGCAGTGTGGCAGAGATGGACGGAAGTCTGCAATGCTAGTGAAGTGTGCTCGGAGGAAGGTAGTTTGTCAGCCACGCTTACGTTGTTGGAGTCACTCAGCGAGGTGGGTAAGTCAGCAGCGGCGGCTGATATAGCGTTATCAGCCTAGTCATTTTTGTTTCAGTGGTGTGGGTTGCAGGATGCTACCAAGGCATTCTGCGTCACGCGGGTCATGAAGGGGTGGAAGCGGGACCGCAGGCCGGACGCCCGGTGTCTGATTTCCTATAAATACTGTATAACCTCTTGGAGCGGCTTCCGCAGATATGTGCGTCTCACTACGAAGTGCTCCTGTTTAGGGCCGCTTTTGCAATTTGTTTCTTTGCTGCCTTACGCGTAGGCGAGTTGGTGGCCCCAAGTACGCAGGCGCCGGCCGCCATACAGATGGCGGATGTCCAGGTTTCGACATCCGGATGTCAAAGATGGACCAATCAGGGGTAGGCGCTTCGGATTAAGGCTATTGATCGGGAGGTCTGCCCGGTTAGGTTGCTGCAGGAGTTTTTGGAGGTACGGGGGTTGAGAGCAGGGTCGCTGTTCAAGCATAGAGATGGGTCATCCCTCAGCCGATTTCAATTCGGGCTGGGGTGGTAAGTATGGGACTGTGCCCCGGACGGTATACTACACATTCCTTCAGGATTGGAGCAGCGACTCAGGCGAGTATGCTGGGTCTTCCATCAAAGGCCCTCAAGCGGTTGGGGCGATGGCAGTCAGGGTGGTTTCAGCTCTATGTGCGCCCTCACTTGCTGTAAGCCAGTGGCGCAGCGTTGGTATAGTTTTGTTGTAGGTTCTTCCCCGCATTTTATTTGGATTATCGGACACTCCTTCATGTATTGGGCAGCAAGGCGGGCTGCGTTTAGACCCTATGGCCGGAACCTCGGTTTCCCGTATGAAATAGCAAGGGTACTTTGGAGGGGTATCCGGGGGCTGACCTGGGACGGGTTATATGCGGAGCTGATTCAGCTCCGGCGCTACGTGTCGGGGCC